ACTCACATTCTATTAGGTATAGCTATCAACAGTATAGGATCAACAGTAGTGATATAGTTGGCATGGTTACCTTATTGTTAGATGATACTAATTCATTATTTAAGTGTCGTTTTTTTACAACAAAATTTTCAAGGTTTTTAAATATTTTTTTTCATATCCATTTTAAGCTAATACATCTATTAGGAAATCGATTTCTTTATTTACAAAATTTTCAGAGAAAATCGATAAAGCTCTATGGATAAATCCCTTAAATATTCCTTCTAAGATTTTTGGATCATGGTTTGGATTGGGCTTAACCTGAATATTTGTTATTGCTACTCTTCGATATATATATTCAAATCATAATTATATTTTTGATTGTTGGTTCTTTGGATATCTAAAAAGTTTAATCTTTTGTTTTTATTTTTCAGTTCAATTGTGTATTTAACGGTATGATTTTGACTGTTTAATATTTGTTGAAAACGGATGGCATTATCTTAATCGGTAAATTTTGTGTCATCTATGTACCACAAAAACAATTTTATATCTAGTGGTGGATTAGAATGAAGTGTCATTTCAATTGCTTTCAAATGTATGTTTGTAGTGATGCTGTTTTGAAGTGCATATACTATCAAGAAAGTGCTTGATGAACTTGAGTCAGAACTATAATTTAGTAGAAAATAAAGCTATGTGATTTTCACAACTTTAAGTTTTATGCTATTGCAATCATCAGGTGAAATACAAATATAGTTTTTTCATTAAAAAAATTATATACAATTAGAACTAGTTACATAAAACTATACAGAAAAAACTATAGTTACAAACGCATATATCTAATCTTCACGTTTGTGGTTGCGCAATGAAAATTTATTTAAACTTAATTTAAGTAAACATTTTGTTGTTGTATTGTTGTAAACAGGGGCTTCTTTTAAGATAGACCAAGTTCAGGTGTTTCTTTGAGTTTTTCCTTAGTTTTCCATATATATTTTGAGAAAGTGGTTTCATTTGTAAGTTTTTTATTTACAAATCAATGCTTGTGGTTTGCATATCCCTTTTTCACATGCCTTTTGATAAATATATATTAGTGCTTGATTACCAATGAATCGGGTGTGCTCAAAGGCGGGATGCTATCCCATCAATTTTCTCAGATGTATAAATTATCTTGTCAACTTTTTTTTTTAAATATCCTAATATAACAATGATTAGACAATATGGTTTTATTTAACTTACTGAAAACCATCCCATTACTTTTTTTTTCCACTTCTCTCTCTCTCTCTCTCTCTCTATATATATATATATATATATATATATATATATATATATATATATATATATATATATATATATATATATATATATATATATATATATATATATATATATATATATATGTATATATGTATATATGTATATATGTATATATATATATATATATATATATATATATATATATATATATATATATATATATATATATATATATATATATATATATATATATATATATATATATATAGAGAGAGAGAGAGAGAGAGAGAGAGAGAGAGATATATATTTATTTATTTATATATATGTATTTATATATAATATATATATATACAGTCAGCGAAATTCGAAGGATTTCAGGTCAGCACAAACGTGCCAACCTTAGCTGACATTAGTTCAGCAAAAAAAAAAAAAAGGTGTAATGATTAAATGATTATAAAAGGATTGCTTTATAATAGCATAGCTTCAGACAATATTTTAAAGAATGTAGCAATTAAATTTTATTTAGTAAATTAAGTAAATACCAAATTTATGAATTAGTGAATTTTTAGTTTTGAAGTTGTCTTTTTTTACAAAAAAATGGTCATTGCTTATTTATTACATTTTAATTGGTTTTGTAGATTGCTCATAGAAAGAACGTTGTTTACAAATACAAATTTAGTTGATGTGCTGTAGGGGAAGATTTTGTTTAAAACGGCAAATTGATTAACAGAATGAGTAGACAGTTTACATCCAGTTGTTTAACCTCTACGAGAAATAAGCATTTAATTCTCCAATAGTAGGGGTGGTGTTTTTCAATATTTAATTGTAGTATAGTATGATCTATACAAAACTATACATACGTTTCTGTTGCTAATTTAGCACAGCCTTTATTTTTATTATGACAATATTTTAAAAGCTTTGAATACTCTCGGCGAGTTTTACACCATATTAAAATTACTTCACCTGAATCATCAGTTTGAAATCCGCAGTATTAAAAGCCCCATTTTCAATGACAGTTCTGTTAGGCATGAGGCGTGAGAACATCAAGCATTTAAAAAGTAATATTTTTTAACCTTTGTTATGCTTGAATAAATTTGAGAAAAAAAGAAAAAATGAATTCAAAAAAAAATGAATGAATTATTATTTTAATAAAACATGTCAAACTTGAAATGCAAGTAATTACAATATTAAAATTTACAAAATAATATTTAACTAATATAAGTTTTTTACATTTTTGTTATTCACCTCCTCAAGGCCAAGAAGGCCACTACAGACGAGGAGGCTACTTAGTAGTGGTTAAACCCTCTCTCAACTCTATAACTCCAAAACACGAACCTTGACAAACAAGGCCGCTGCGTGGAAAAACAAGTTCCATATACTGACTGAATTACATGTAAACCGACATGTAATTCAGTCAGTATATGGAAGTCAATCAGTCAGTATTATCAAGACAGTTTATTGAAGTGAGTTTTATCAAAGTGTTTTATCGAAGAACATCAATACAAGAAGTGAAATACAACAAGTTTTTCATTACATTAGTACAGTCCATATCCAACCAAGACATTGTATTCCACAGAGCATTATTGTATCATCAAAAGGTAAATGTAACACGGTAAGCCTTGTGGAGCGTGATTATTTTTATTATTTTTATGACTTCAAGTGCAAAAATGGCTCCCGAAAGTCTTGGATTGGAACTAAGAAAGAAAATTATTGGCAATTACGTAAGTTAAAAGTCACAAAAAAAGTATAGTGAAAAAATGGAACGTATCAAGACTATGTTCCAAATATCGTTCTACGGGGAAGTTGGCAGCAGGTAGGAAAGGTGGAAGACCACATTCCACCACTTCTAGAGAAGATTCTATGATTGTCAGATCCGTCAAGAAGGATTCCTGGATATCATCAGTCGAGATGCAAAAGTAATTGGAGCTGCCTGTATCGGACCGAACAATTAGATGACATGCTGTTAAAGCCGGATTGTTTTATTGACGCCCTGCAAAGAAACTGCTGATTTCACTAAAGAACCAGAAGAAAAGACTCCTGCTTGCTACATCTCATATTGACTGGAATGTGCAGAAATTGCGAACTGTCCTGTTCAGTGATGAATCGAAGTTCAACATCATTGGGAGCGATGGCATTTGCCGTGTACGTCGACTGGCCGAAAAACGCCTCAATTTTTGTTACTGCCATAAGACCGTGAAGCATGGTGGCGACAATGTAATGGTCTGGGGGTGTTTTTCGATGGAATAATGGACCGTTTTATGTATAAAAATATCCTGAAAGATGTTATGTTACCTCATGCTGAATGGAATATGCCAACAAAATTGGTTTTTCAGCAAGACAACAATCCGAAACACACTGCAAAAGTAGTCAAGCAGTGGTTTCAAGACAACCACATATCGGTGATGGATTGGTTGCCTCAATCTCCGGATCTCAACCCTATCAAGAACCTGTCGGAGATTGTCAACCGCAGAATTAATCGTGAAGGTGTTCGTAATAAGGATCAACTGTTTGAACAAATCCAAAAGGCCTGGGCAGCGATTCCACAAAGTTTTCATTGATCACCTGATAGAAACTATGCCTTGAAGATGCAAGGCTGTGATTGACAACAAAGGATTCCCCACAAAATATTGATAGCGAAATACAGCTTGGTCAACATTTTGTGGAGTTGCACTTGTTTTGTCCAGAAAGAAATTAACTTTTTTTAATACTTTTGATTAATTTATTAATTTTTGTGTACAAATAATGAACTTTGTGATGAATAAAACTTGAAGAACGTTGTCTCTAAACAGTTACATAGTTATTTCTCTAAATTGAAAAAATGCAGCACTTTTATATAAAGAAACTACATTAGCATTATTTCGTTGCACTTGTTTTTTCCGATACTATATATATATATATATATATATATATATATATATATATATAATATATATATATATATATATATATATATATATATATATATATATATATATATATATATATATATATATATATATATATATATATATGTATATATATATATATATATATATATATATATATATATATATATATATATATATATATATATATATATATATATATATACAGAGCCTATTCTAGGAAAAACATTTGGATGGTGGTACCTCTCCGTTCCAGAGAAATTTAGCGGAAACTCAGCGTTTTTTCGCAAAAAAAACAATATTTGCTATAAAAAATGTAAATAAAGATGGAAAAAAAAGGTCCTCAAATTTTAGTTTGGACGGCACTGTCGAAAATTTGGGTAAATATATACCCACACTTTATGTTAATTTTCCAAATCTAAAATAAGATAAAACTTGCTTAGTTAACAAGCAAAAATTTTCTGAAAAAAACTTGGAACTTTTAAAAAACTAAACCAAAAAGCAGCCTAATTTATCAAGGTTTTTGTTTTGGAGTTTTAGAGTGGAGAGAGGGTTATAAGCACAATTCAAATATCCTCTTCAACTGTAGTGGCCTTCCTATTCTTGGGATGGTGAATTAACATTTAAAAAAATTGCTTGTTTAGATTCTTAAAAGTTGAAAATGACTATACCAGTCTTTTTCAACTTCTTAAAAATCTAAACAGACTATGTAAACCAACAAACATTTTTCCATTAAAACCACTAATATCAATAAAGATTTATTAGGTCTAAAGGATCCATTCTGTTCAGTAAAGCCTAGAAACTACTTTAAAATGGCATAAGAAAATGGTAAACATTAACTGCATTATTAAAATTATATTCAAATTTGTATTTTTATTTTTTGTTTAGTTAGACAATTCAAAAATGGATTCTGAATGCAAAGAAGTTGCATTGGATGTAAGTTTAAAATCTTTTGTTTTATAATGCTCAAAGTTATCTATTTTTAAAATGGTGGTATGGAATGACTAATTAAATTTTAGTTCCAAATTTATTTCTAACATTTTTTTTTGTCCCAAACTTTTCTAACATTCTTTTTTGTTTCAAACTTATTTGTAACATTCTTTATGTTTAAAAAAAATGTCACAAATAAGTTTGGAGTAACTAGAAGTAATATTATTATCACAAATATTCTTATTAATAAAAAATATTACAAAAAAAAAATGTAAACGAAAAAAAAAGAAAATTTTTTTAATGACTATTTGTTTTTATTAATTGTTAGTATTATACACATGTTTTTTTTACTAGGTGTATTCCATATCTGATAATAAATGGCGCCTTGAAAAGGATTGGTTTGTAACTTTTAAATATCACTTTTTGTATTAATTGCTTTGAACTTCAAGTTGTTAGATTTATTAAAAATCTATGCTAAATAACATTAATTGAAAATGACAAAAGAAGAAATATTTTGAGTTAGTTGATTTAATTTACTAAGAAGAACTATTTTAGTTGTAAACAAAAACAATTGGTTTTTATTTACAAATAAACAATCAAAAAAGTTAACACTACCAAAACATTTGAAATGAAAGTTGACAAAGCTATTTTTTCCTACCGTCTTTATTTTAGTTTGGTGTTTCTATTTAGAGGCTAAATTGATTAAGTTAAAAAGAGTTCAACACATGGTAGTAAAGATCAACTCTTGTGCTAGCTAAGCTAATTTTATGTAATGTTTAATTCTAATTAATTAAGTTCTGCTTTAACTGCAAAAAGTATTGGATTTGCTAAATAGTTATAAGCAACTTTTTTTTTTAATTTCTCAAAAATTATAAAAACTTTAAGAAGTTCCCATGGTTTGAGTATAAATTTAGTATGGTTTGAGCATGAAATAGCCTATCAGGCTAAATAGAATTACTATATTGCGGCATCTGTATTTTGCAAACTGGGTAAAAGTAAAGTACGTGTGCTACCTACTTTATGAGTTTCTGTCTCACTCAACAGCTAAAACCCATGGAGTATATGCAGCCTGTTGCCCCATGAAGTATATGAGTTAGTAAAGCCCCATGAAGTGGGGAGCTATATGTTACCATAAGTATCTCTATCATGACATATGCCCAATATTAAATAGCATTTTTTTATGTTTTTAGAAAATTTAAAGAAATTTGTTGGGCCGTGGCCTACTTTATACACGGCCGGATATGTTGCATAAATAGGTCGAAAATTAGAAGGCCATTTTTTAGCATTTTGGTTATTTTTCATACTGCCAGTTAATATTTTTAAAATTTTATTTTTGGGAGATATTGATTAAGTTAGAAATTTAGTTTTGGATATAATGGTTTACAAATTTAATTGTTGAACTGGCTAAAAATCTAAAAAAAAATGAATCTAGTTCTCTTCGTGCAAGTAAAGTTGTTTTTAGTTTTCCTAAAGATACTGTTTTAGAAGAAAAATAAATGAAATTTGTTAACAGAAAAGATTGGAAGCCAAGCAAGCATTCAGTTATATGCTTAGCCCATTTTGAAAAAAAGTATTTAAAATATGGAAAACTAGTTATCTTAAAATATGAGCTACCAATGAGTTCCAACAATTTATTCTGATGAAATTTCTATTTCATCTTCTATAATACCTAAAATTCCTACTTTTTCGTAAACTTCCAACTGACCGACATTCTACCATCACAGATGAAATTCATACATTTCAAGAAATGGATAAAATAAAAAATATTGATCATGAATCTAACTCTCCAAATGGATTTAGTTTTCAAAGATATGAAAGTTTTGTTTTATATTATCGTTTATTTTTTGTAGACACAACTCCATTTATTGAATCACTACGCATCAAGAACAATTTGCACGTAAAGTTACATTCTCCACTTCCACTCCCTAAATGGTTTAGAACAATTAACAATTGTAAACTTACAAGTTTATCGATTTTAAATAATTTGGTGTCTTATATGCACAACCTTGTTGAAGAAAATTCGTATGGTTTAGTTAATGAACTATCAAATTTAATTTTTTACAAATCCAAAGGTCGTCCTCCATATTCTTCACAAGTATTATGTTTTGCACTTATGCAAAGATATTCATCATTTCAGGCTTGTTCCCTTCTTTTAAAACAACTCCCATTGCCATCAATGTCACTACTAAAGAAGTTAGTTTCTGGTGGAATCGATTCAATAAAATCATTAAAACTGTTATTAAATGAAGGAAAAATAAGCAATGATTGTGTTCTTCTTTTTGATGAAATGTATTTACAGCAATCTTGTGAATGCCACAGTGGTAGATAAATTGGTCAAGATACTGAGGGTAATCTTTACAAAGGAATAATTGTGTTCATGATCGTTGGTCTTTAAAAATCAATACCATATGTTATTAAAGCTATCCCAGAAATTAGTCTTACTGGAGATTTTATTAAAGATGAAATAAAAGAAAGTTTAAATACATTAAGATCTGCTGGTTTTAACATTTGTGCATTGATTGCTGATAACCATCCAACTGTGTCAGCTTATTCAAAATTACTCAGCGTTTATGGTTCAGAGAAGCCAGAAGAAAATTTTTGTATCACTTTTAATGGTATATAATTTATTTGATGTATAATAGTGTAAATTTGCTCAAAAACTTAAGAAATAATTTGATTAGTACCAGGCTTGATCGGGAAGCGGGAGCAATCGCTCTCGATTGCTGACCACGTAAATAATATTTAGTTGCGAAAAGCTGGCCAGATTTTTTAGTCGTTTTGAGAACATTTTAAAAAGCAAAAAAAAAAGCGCATAAGATTAATTGGACCGATGAGAGACAATTACAAAAAAAAAAAATTTAGCAAATAAAATATCTTTAAACGCCAAATAAATTATATTTAGAACAAATATTTTCGAAACATTGCTCTTTTATAATCTTTTTTATAAAATTAGGCGATGTTTTTTATATAAAGTAACAACTTACGATTGTTTAAAAAAGGAAACAAATGCTCTTTATTTAGCAAAGTTTGCAAGTTTTAGTTTTATTTATGCTAAATTATTTTATAAATAAAAAAGTTAATTTTTTAATACCTATTTTATGTTTCGCGTAGTTTAAAAAGTTTTACATATTTGAAGCAATTCTTCTTAGTAAGATAAACAAATGAAATAATTAAATCATTGAATTACTATAGAAATTAAATTAACAAGATAGAAATCAACTAAAAAAGTTAAAAATACTTTATGACGAGGAAGCGAAACTGCTTCACAATGTATTTTAATTTTAATTAGTATTTAAAACAGAAAAAAGTAAAACGTGTTTCAAGAATGGCAACTTAAGCGAAAACAATTAGAGTTAGTAAACCAATATATAGAAACTTTTCTTTATATCTAATTATTTGCTATATATATTTGTGTTCTGTCGTGACCTCAGGCGCGGTGCTTGTTCATCCGAAAGATACTTTGTATGCGTTGTTTGTGTTTAGTAACCAGAAACTTCTTATATGTTTGTTACACAATTAGTTTTATTAACTATAACGATTATAACTGCAATTATTTTTGTAAGTCTTTAAAATCATAAAAATTGCTTTAAAAGATACATTACGATAAAAAACAGATACACAAGATTACATAAAGATTACATACTTTTTAAATAAAAAATAAGAATATACTAATAAAATCTATAATTTATAATAAACTTTTGAAATTTTGACAATATAATATATATTTAAAAGATTTATTTTTGTAAACAAATAATATATATTTTTAAAACAAGAAAACTAGAAATCTCAAAACATAACAAATCGTGAGTAATACAATTCCTAAAATATTTCAACAAAATACTCTAGAACTTTATTTTGTTAAGTCAGCATATTTTTTGAACCAATATAATTAGTTTCTTCGTTAATTTGGCGGGTTTTTAGTGTTCGTGAATATTCTTTTTATTCTTTCGCACAAAGATGTTTTGAGAACATTCAAGTTTATTATGTTTCCATGTATGTCCGTAAAACAAAAATTTTTTGTTTCGTACATAAACTTAAATGTTCTCAAAACGACTAAAAACCTGGCCAGTTTTTCACAACTAATTATAATTTCCGTGGTCAGTATTCGAGAGCGATCGCTCCCGCTTCCCGACCAAGCCTGATTAGTACCAAAAAGTTTATTTTCCCATCATTTCAGTTCACTGATTACATTTTTGATATAAAAGTCTCTGCAGGTAATATATCTTGGGGATTGATTCATAGAGTGCATGAAATAGATGAAACTCTATCAGCAAACTTTAGAAAGACATCAAAACTAGGAGAAAAGACATTATATCCAGGTAATAAACAAGACATCAACCTAGCATTAAATATATTCCATGAAACAACATCTGCTGCAATTCAAAGTTATTTTCCTAATGAATTTTCAGCATAAGAATTTTTAAAACTTGTTAATTTATGGTGAGTAATATCTAATTCTAAAATGAAATACTCTAATCATAAGTTTGGAAATGCACTTGTTATGGGGGACGGTAAGCCACAATTTTTACGTGCATTTGCTCACTGGATTGATCAGTGGCAAAATTCGTAATACAGTTCCACTGAAAGATATTCTCTTACAGCTCAGACTTCTAAAGCCCTTATTGTAACACTGCAAAGTACTTCTAGTTTAGTTGAAGATCTTCTATTTGAAGGATATAATTATGTTCTAACTTCTTGTTTCCAAAGTGATCCATTGGAGCGACATTTTTCAAAGTATCGTCAAATGATTGGTGGCAGATTTCTTGTTGGATTACGTAAAGTAATAACTTCTGAAAAATTTTTGCAAATGAGATCATTATTAAAAGAAAATTTTGACTTTTTGAAAATGGATTTAAAAACTTTCAAGTTGGTTCTAAATATAAATTTGATTTCTGAACTTTTTATTAATGTTATTCATGAATGTGATTTAGATGATAACAGTAAAGAAGTTGCTATTTTTTTGCCGGATATATATGCAGAAAATTACTCAAAAAAGTTTAATGTGAGTTATGTTCTTTATTGCTAAGAAGTGATCTCATTGATTTTAATACAGAAAATATTAAACTACTATCCAGAGAAGGTCTCATAACTCCCTCAAAATTGCTTGCAAATCATGTTATTATTTGCTTTTCTATGCTTGATGCAGTAAAAAAAAGTTTACTTACAATAGAATTTCTTGACATCAGAAAAGTTAGAGAATATATTTTATATGAATATAATTAGAACCACAGCTTTATTTGTGAGGATCATTTAAAGTGGGGCTTTTTCTAGTTAATCAGACAGTAATAAATATTTTTTATAACAATGAACAAAAGATTTTAAGTAATGGAAAGCGCAAAGATGCTGTATTATCTTTTAAAAGAAGACAAAGGGAAAAGAAAAAAATAGAAATGTAGCT